GCAAGGTGACGTTCTCGGCCCAGCAGTGTAAGGTGGGCCCTGGCAAAGTGGACATGTTCTCAGGGGAGCATCCAGCATGGTGTAGGGCTCTCCAGGCCGTTTCACCCAGGGACGTACTGCAGGAACCCGATAATTCGTCAAGAAAAGAGGTGTTCCCTGATGAGTGTTATCACACCTTTCCAGGGCCATTCTATCAAAAAGACCGCCACTCTAGACTTCCTCTGGGTGGCCTCAGAGGGCACAACAGAATTAGACTCATCAAAAGGAAAATCCTCATGACCATGAAGTGGGCTGCCTGGAGGAGGAGTATTCCCAACGAGAGGTGGAGGGGGTGCTACGCGATGACCAAGTCCGCTTCCTGCTAACCCGGAGTGGTTCCTGCGCCCCCCACCCCGTTTCCTCCCTTCCACGTGTTCTTCCACTCGGACCTCTCCCTGCTCCAGGCCAGGGAGCCAGCCCTGACCCCCAGGAGCTGCACTGTTACCCTCAGGGACTGGCCTCTGGCCACTCTTGCTGGGCGGGCCTGGCTCTGACCTCCGCTTCAGCTCTGGTCATTGGGCTGCTTCTGCCTTGTTCAGGACGCCAAAGTTTGCCCTTTATAACCTGATTCTGGTGACTCATTACTGCTTGATGTTGTGCCTGGTTTCCTCTGAACGCTTTTGAGCAACAGAGGTAGTGAGGGCAGGGAAGGAAGGGGTAAATATGTCAGGGAAAAGCAAACAATCATCCTCTGAGATTATGAGGAAGGAGGCTGGGCGGGGGAGGGCAGGGAGAGCTGACAGCAGATGTCCCGAGAACCTTCTAAGCAACAATGTCCATTTTGAAGCAGAGGTTAGTAGGACTCCGAGACGCTAGCTAGCCTGTCCTCCTTCAAAGTTGAAGTTCTTATCCAGTGGTCTCACGGTTCCCTGTATTTTGAAGGAATAGTTGACCGCCGCAAGTCAGGAGGGCAGAGGGGAGGCTGGAATCTTGTTTGGAGCGGTTGCTATAGGGAAAGGAAAAGGTCGGCCTGGGGAATTGGGAAAGGATTGCCAAGCTGCCTGAGACCAGACTCAGGTTAGAAACCAGAGCTGGCCAGCCTTGGAGCAAGAAGCCAGATTCCAGGTTAGGAACGGGCAAGGCAAATTTAGTAGAAGGTCAGGGGCCAAGGGAGAGGAGACCTCTGAGGAGAGTACAGTCGTCGGAGTCATTGTCCTCCCCACACTGTGCCTGTGTCCAGACGGGGATGGGGGGAGGTGGATAAAGGAGCCCAGGAGAAACTCACGGGAGAGCATGTTAGGGGTGTGGAGTTGCCTTAAAGCGGAGGGCAGGCTTAGTAGGGGGCATTTTAGAGGTGGAGAAACTCCTCTGATGAGGTTCAAGGGATGGGCATTTGGTTGGGTTGCTAAAGGGAAGTGGGGGTGAAGGTCTTTGAGAGGGTGAGGTCGCTGGACCTGCTGCCAGTGTGTTGACTGAGTTATTAGAAAGGCAGGGATGATGGCAGGGGGCCAGAGCCTGGTACACCATAGCGCTCACTGTGCGGTGGCCTGAACTCGGTAAGTTCCGGGGGAGGATGGTGAGGCACATGGAATGGTGTCGTGGCAGCTAGTAAATGTTGGGTAATGTATGCTTCAAAGGAGAGCAGAAGGGGAAGAGATGGAACTAAGTCGGAATACAAGGCGTGTTCGCACTTATCTAGACCTCAACGAGAGGGGCTCAGGTGGTGGGGCCAGAGTGTCCGGGGAGCCCCAGCCACCCCAGGGCAGGGACCAGCTTCCCCGGCTGAGCTATGTATGTTAATGAACAGTAGCCCAAGACTTTCCTACCACAAGCGCCCAGTTACTCCAGGGCCCTGGGAAGTTCAAAACAACCGGGAGAGGGGGTCCTGGCATCACTAACAAATGCCTAGTGATGATGCTTCATCAGTACACGTATCTAATAGCAAACCTTGGATTATGGTTATTTCCAAATGCAGAACCACAGCACGAGCTTCTCTGTGCCCTTTCAGCACCATGCACGAACTTCTATCCGAGGTTCTATCTTTCAGGCTGGAGAGGTACAGACTCTCACATTCATTTCTATACCCTCAGCACCTGGCATAATGCCTGGCATGGAGTTGTTAGCAATTACTTAATAAATACTTGCTGAAGGAACAGCCACGACCTACAGGATCATAAAGGGAATGCCTCATTCCTCTTTCCAAAGGAGAAAGCTAAAACTCAGGGATGGGGAGCAATTTGCCCAAGGTCACACTCAGTGGGAGAGGAGATTTAGAACCCAAGTCTCTGGACTCCCAGCCTAGGACTTGACACCACTCAACAGGTCCTCTCTCTCCTGCTAGACTGTAAGCTTAGAGAGGAAAGAGACTGTGCCTTTCTGACCTCTCCATCCCTAAGTGCCTTGGCACTCCTTACTCAGCTCTGCCCCTATCCTCATGAACGTCTGCTTATTTAGCTGGCACAGGACAAGAAGCTGGGAGGATAGTTCGTACACTAGATGACAGGAGCAGAACTCATAAAGGTTTAGACAAGAAGGAAAGGGAGTGGGAGATTAAGACATAAGATGTGCTTTGACTAAAAAATGGTACAAGTTTGCACTCAGGATAAAAAAGACTTTACAAGCAGGAGTAGGAAGGACTTAGACGAATGGTAGTTCATGCTGAACACAGAGAGGCTCAGGATTAATGAAATAATTTGGCTGTGACAATGCTGTTCCTAGTGAGTGGGGCCCAAACTCAGAGAGGTGCTAATTCGGTTGTAGGCTGCCATGGAGTGACCTCTGTGTGGGTCACATTTTGAAAAGGAAATTGATCAATTAGAGGGTCCCTTGGGTGACTGACTAGTGGTACCATATCCATGGTCACGTGAGAGGCAGCCTCAAAGGGAAGTCTAGCTTCCTTGTGGACCAGACAAAACCTTCTGGATTTGGCCCTAATTGCCTATTTCCCCATCTCCTTTACACTTGAACACCATGCCCACCAGGCTATTCTGTATCTCCATATCTTTGCCCACACTGTTCCCTCCATCTGGAATATTCTGTCTGTCCTGTCCCCCCCCCCCCCCCCAACAGTCCACTTGGTGAGCACCTATGAAATTTTCAAAATCCTTCTCAAATTTACTGCCTTGTAAACCATCCTAACCCAAACCCCGGGCAATCCACTCTTTTCTCTGTACTTTCATGCTCCCCTATACATAGTTTTATATTATACATTTCATCTTCATTGTATTTTGTTTTATATGCCTGTTTCTCCCATTGGACAAAAGTTTCTTGAAAACACAGATCCTGTGACTCCCACCTGTAGCACATTGCCCTAGCATGATCCATGGGTGTTCATACAACTTAAACAAATGAACCAAAACTTGAAGCATGCTTTCAGATATTTGGAGGACTGTCCTGTAGATGCCTGAAGAGATTTTAATACATGTACCTCCAGAGAGCCAACAACAAGGATAAATGGGGGCATGTGGTCAGGAGATGGATTTGGGCTCACTGGGAAAAACTGCCTTCGTATTGGTCAAGACTCACATTCTATCAACAGAAGTCTAATTCGCAGCAGCTTGAGCAAAGAGAACTTTTTTGGTACACAGATTCAACAAACTGGTCGGACTGCCAACCTACAAAAATGTCAGGGACAAAGCTGGGTTTCAGGAACACCTACAGCGATCTACCTGGAAGCCATCAGGACTCTGAGCCCCTTGCTTTTGCTTCTCTCTTGTCAGCTTCCTTCTTCCTCACTGCAGACTGGCCTCTTCCACCAGGTAGGAAGCATGGCTGCTGAAAGCTGGGACCTCACAGCTCACTGCTTTCCAGCGCTGCTTTTCTCACCCAGTTCCAGTTTAAAAACATTTTGGTAAAGAACTCCCATCGGCACAGCTTGGGTGTGATGCTTACCTCTGTGGTCAGGGAGATGGGTACCACGAAGAGCCTGGCTTAAGTCAGCTGTCAGCCAACTGAGGCCAGGGATGGGGTCATGTAGGAATAAAGGCATTTGCCATTGGGACCACACCGCGAGAGTGGGGGAAGAACCATTTCCAAAGCCAGTGGGAATGTACAGTGTGAAGCTTCTAGGACAGAGGGGTGGTACTCCTTTGCTCTAACTTCCTAAAGATCATAGCCACCCAGCTGCAGGCACTTTCTGGATGCTTCCAAGGATAAAGGAGAGAAAAAAAAAAATGGATAAATATTGGTCACTCCCAGTATTTAGAACCAGGTTTAGTCCGTGCTTACAATCTTACTCTTAGAAATTGTTGCACGGTTGAATCGTTTTCTGCGCATTAGGACTCTGCCATTTCCCCCCAAGGTGCTGAGAAATGGAGGCTGGGTGGAGTAGGAGGTCCCCAATTATTCTAGAAGTGGTTTTTGAGCCCTTCATCTACGCTAGATAATGGAAGGGAACGCAAGACACATCCAGAGGAGCTCCGTGGAGATGTGTGGGCTTGTCTAAGTCGTGGACCAACCCCAGTCACCGGCAAGGCGAGGGTCAGCGGGGGCTGCCACCAGGGAGAAGGGGGCCGGTCCCCGGCTGCGGCGGCGCCCACCGTGTGGAGCCCAGGCTCCAAGCGGCCTGGCGCCCCTGAACTTCGCCTGGCCTGCGCCGCCAGCTCCTCGGGTGCTTCTGCACCTTCCGCTGCGCGAAGGCCGCGCGGCCCGCGCGTCCACAGTTGCGAAAGCCACCCCCCCGACCCCCCACGAGCGGGGGAAGGAGGGTCGGCAGGAAGCCGGGGGCCTGGGGCCTGGAGTTTGGGGCACAGCGGGAGGCCTCCCGAGGCCCAGGCCCCGACGCCGGGCCGGCTCCGGGCGCTCCACGCGCGTCGGGCCGCGGCCCCGGGAATGGCCGAGCGCAGCGGGGTCGGGCCCTCGCGCGAGGCCCGGCGCCCCCCGGCGCCGCGGACGCCGCGCCCGTCGGCCCGGGCCGGGGGAGGGACAGCAGCAGGTGACGACGGCCGCGCCGCGGGGCTATAAATAGGGGCGCGCGTCAGCCGCGGGCGGGAGCGGCGGCCGGCAGGGCAGGGGCCTGGCGAGCGCGCGCGGCCGGCGGCGGGATGGGGTCGCGCAGGGCCCCCGGACGCGGCTGGGGCTCGGGCGGGCGGGCCGGGGCGGCGGGCGACGGCGAGGACGACGGGCCGGTGTGGACCCCCAGCCCGGCCAGCCGCAGCTACCTGCTCAGCGTGAGGCCGGAGGCCAGGTGAGTGGCGCGTCCCCCCGGGGGGCCCCGGGGCCGGGGGTGGGGTGGGGGGCTGGGGGGCCGGCGGGCGGAGGCGGCGGCGACGCCCTCGAGGGCACCCTGGCTCCCTCCTCCCGAGGCCTGAGAGCTGAGGCGTGGCCGGGCGCAGGGGCCCTCAGGCCCTCAAGGCTCCTCCTGACCCCTCAGGGCCTGCGGGGCCTCGGGCCTCTGGCAACGCGAGGCTCGAGAGAGGAGAAGGGCCCAGCTCTGCGGGTGATTTCACAGGGGCCCGAAGGCCTTCCTTTATCGCCCCTCGTCCCATCGGCACCCTCACCCCATACTCAGCTACTCCCTGGCCTCGGATTCCACAGTGAGCGATAAGGAAAGCCAGAGTGGCTGGAATTCCTCCCCCAGCTGGAAGGGAGGGGGAGAGCATTCACGGGGTAAGGGTAGGGGCAGAGTGGGAGCGGGGAGTTGGGGAGGGGCGCTAGGGGGACCCCCCCAGTGGGGGCTACTTAGCTCAGGGGGGTGGGGGTGGTGGGGTTCACCAGGAAGAAATAAGGTTCTTATTTCTGTGCAAATAAGGTTCTTCCTCTGGGCCCAGGGCTGTGGTCTTCCCCAGGATCTTTGTGGGGGCTGGTGAGGGGCAGGGGTGGGATGAGGGGCTGACTGGCCCTGTCTGAAGAATCAGAGCTTGCTGTTCTGAGGGAGCCAAGTGCCCTGCCCAGTTTGGGGGAGTAGGATGCCAAAGGAGGGGCCCAACCGAGGAGCCCTGTACTCCTCTGCCAAGAATTAGAGGTGTGGTTGCTTTGTTTTAGGAGCTAGGCTACCCGCAGATACAAAGACACACAGATAGTCAACAGAGAGGCCCACAGGCGCTCAGAGGCCCCCAGACACCCAGGGACACGTGCATCGCCACGGGGAGAGACGGACATTTCCTGCACCCTCTGGGCAGCTCAGTTTCCCTCCAACTCTGGAGCCTGTTTTCCAAAGGGAATTGTGATGGTTGGCTGTTGGGATAGTGGTTGTGTCCTGGCCCCAGAGCTTGGCTTGTTGTAGCTTATGTGGAAAACGGCCACTCATCTGAGAAGCTGTCTGGGGACCTCTTGTCCTCCGTTCCTAAAACAGCACAAAAACAGGCATCAAGGACATTCAGGAAAAGTCCCAGGCACTTCCTCGTGAACTGGCTGAGTTCTGTTGACCTTGGAGTTGGAAAAGTTCAAATGTAACCGGAACCGGTTTCTGCATAAAACTCGTCAAATGGTGTCACATGTCTGGGGCAGGGCTGAGGGCTGGTGTTAGTGACGGAGTGAGACTGGACAAGGCCCCTGGCTTCCCAGGAACGAATGCCCCTTTTTTCCCCGAACCACTGGCTCTATGGAAAAACTGGAATGAGCCTTGGGCATTTATTCCCATCTGTGGTGAAGCTGCCTGCCTTGTAGGAGCCTCACACTTGTCTCACACTTGTCACGGGGACTCGCCTGGGCTTTGCCTCCTGCATCTGGCCTTTGTCAATACCAGGAGAACACACAGCAGAGAAGCAGCGATGGAGGGAGGGAAGCAGGGGTGGCTTGAAAACCAGGCAGAATAGGGAAGGCAGTGGATCTGGACTGGTAGAGAAAAAGCTGGAGAGTGGACAGCTACCTGGCTGAGCTGTTGCATGGTAGATGATTTTTAATTGCCCGCCTGATGAGCACAAAGCAGTGTCCCAGCCTGAGAACTGCAGGCAGGACGGAAGTGGCCGGTCCAAGTCCCCTTGTATCTAAATGCGAATGCTACTTTTCATTAGGCCTTTGGAGGAGGCAGGGCTGGGGCTCCAGTGGGAGAGAGGGCTCTGTTTTGCCCCTGTCGGCTGGCTACAGACCCCCACAGGTCCTCAGGGACAAGGAGGGCCAGATTTATCTCACCTCTGGAAAAGCCTCTGGCCAAAGAGGGAAGAATGTGACTGTGAATGGCTGTGATGGGGGTGGGTGGGGGGCGATTCCCAGTTCCCTAGCAAGGCCTGACTCTTGTGTTAGAGCGGGCAACCATGCAGTCTTCTGTCCCTCACAATAGCTTGACTGCCTGTGGGGATGGGAAGAGGGCCCAAGAGATGAAGGAGAAAGAGGGTCCCTTGAGGACTTTGCCAGCTATCCTTGGCCCCAGCCCAGATGAACCCTGACTATCCCAGAGTCCTGACTGAGAGGCAGGTTCTTTTCCACTCACTCTTGGCTCCAACATTTTTCTGGGTCTACCTCTATGCATGGAGCTCATGAGGCGTCATTGTCGGCTGCCTCTGGGAGCTGATGGACAGCTGGGCTGGCGGCTGGGCCACCAGAAGCATTGGCCCAGGGCTAGAACCTGGCCCCCTATGCCTATCTCCCCTCGCCTAACCCCACGGCCCTGAGGTGGTTTCCAGACTGTAGTCAGCTTAAGGCTATTTCCAGTGCCCACTGGGGTCAGAGGTCCAGCATGCAGATAGTCCCAGCAAACTGTTGGTCCAGCCTCCTAGGACATCCACCCTCTAGGACCTCATCCCTATAAGAAGGTGGGGCATGGGGACTAGAGTGGGGTAAGGACCTACAGTCAGGTGGACAGACACTCAAAAGTTTCAGAGGTCCCTGCCCCCTCATTTCTTGGAGAGCCTGGCCCACGTGGGCTCAGAGGAGCCACAGGACCTATGATGTTTACTGCAGACAGCTTTGGAAGACCTCTTCTGTTCTGCTTGGGTCAGGCAGGCTGTCTCAGGCTTTCAGGGAAACTGAGTCATCAGGCTGTTCTGTCCCAGAATATATGAAAGCCAGGAAGAGTGGGAGACCCTGGCTTCCACAGCCAGTCCTGGCTCCCTCCAGGCTCACTCTCCTGCTTTACCAAGAGAGCTTTCCTTCCTGGGCCCTGAATTCCCATTCTGTACAATGAAGGTGGCATTAAGAACTGTTGTAGGCCTTTCCGCACCCACGTTTGATGCCTTCGGATTCTGAGCCCCTTGCAGGCAGTGGAGGGAGACGCTCCTGCCTGGGCGAGGCCCTGAGCCTAGCTTTGGCCCGGAAAGCAGGGCATAAGTACAGCTCTCCCCTCCGAAGACAAGGTCGCCTTCGTGGCGCAGGGCTCCTCCCGAGCCGGCTAACAGCGGATGGGTGAGGCCTGGAGGAAGCAGGACAGGGGACAGAGCCGCACAGACAGCTCTAGAGGGAGCCGGGCTGGGGTCACTGTCCCCGCTCAGGGTCTCCTCTGCTTGCAGGTGACACCTGTCATTTTCCTCGTGGAATGAGAGAGCTGATTCTCTCCCTCTCCTTCCCAGGGAAGAAATCCAGACCCAACAGAGGAGAGATCTCTCAATTACGAGGAGAAAGGCAAAGGAAGTTCATGGTCAGGAAAGGATGGAGTTGGCCAGTGTCTTGGAACCATGGGAGGTTCTGCCCACGCGGCCTCCAGAGGATTTTTAAAGCTCTGAGCAAGGCAGCTGCATCCTTGCCCTTCCCACCTTCCCTGGAGCAGCGGCTCCCTCTGGGGGGCAGCACCCTTCCTGTTTGAAAGATGCTCTTGCATACCCTCTCTCTTCCTTCTTTCTCTCTCTCTGTCTCCCTTCCATAAAACAGCTGTTGGATGCCTGCTGTCTGCTGAGCACTGTGCTGGGAGTAGGAAAGCTACCAAGGAAGCTAGGTCTGAAGGCAGGGCGGACAGGGGTTAGTTGAGCAGAAGGAAGGAGGGAGGGCTTTCCAAACAGGGAGGCCAGAAGTATGGGCTTAGATGCCATGTCCGTGGCAGTTAGGGACAGGTTTGGTTCCAGTGGAACGTGGGTGTTGGGAAGAAGAGAACCATGGTTGTAGTGGGGGTGTGAGCTGAGCCGGGAGGACCTTAAGTGCCCAATTAAGGAGTTGAGACTCAACGGGAGGATTGTCACATTTTTTTTCAGGGAAGTGGTGTGATATGGGGTGTGAAGGAGAAAGGGGCTGAGGTGGTCATCAGAAATGGAGCCATGGGGTTCTAGATCAGGACACAACTGCAGGAGTAGCGAGAAAGGGAGAAAGAAGAGCCAAGAATTGTTGACAGGCGGGACTTAGGAGCTGGAGGAGAGGGAGGAATCCAAAGTGGCAGATTTACAGTTTGGAGTTTGGGAGGACGCTGGAGGTGGCCCAAGCCCGGGAGCCCTGGAGTGGAAGCCGTGTTTTGGGGCAGAGGAGGAATTTGGGGTTTTGGTGATAAAGAGACAGGCTCTCAGTGGAGCTTGCTTGTGGTTGGAGATGCAGACTCAAGTGTCATAGGGCAGGCTGGGCTGCTGGTCACAAAGGGAGAGCTCGCCTGGCAGGGACAGCCGAAGGGGGCCAGGGTGGAGGGGGTGGCCCCAAGATCTCCCAAAGGGCGGCGCCACAGTGGTCCTAGGCTCCCCTGGAGCTGTTCGTGTTAGGAAAGGTGGAGGGAGAGGAGAGTGGGGTGGTGTCCCTGTGTGGGTCCTCCGCCCCCAGTGGCCATTGTCCACTTTGAGCTGCCCTGGGGGTAGGAGGGGCGATCAGGGCCTGTAGGCATAATGGGCCTTGTGCTAGTCTCACTGAGCTGGGTGCCTCCTGGCTCCTGCTGAATTAACTGCTTTGTTTTTCTCCTCTTCTTTTCTCTTCCAGCTGGTTTGCCTTGTGTGGCCCCTTTAACCGTACTTTAACCTATTAATGGGTGTTCTCCAAGCCACCTGTCTCCTTCCCAGGGTGTTAGCGGATTTCTAAGAATGGGGGCCCTTCTCCCCCAAAAGGCCGAGGGTTGAAGCAGGAGCTGCTCCCCAGGCTGGTGCGCTGCGGGGTTGGGAAGCGTGCCAGGCAGCCATGAGCCCCTCTCTGGGGGCCAGTCACCCAAGTGCCTGGGACGCTTTTTTCTCAAAGCGCAGCCCCAAGGGGCCTCCTTCCTGCCTAACCATCCCCCCTGGACTCCTCTGCATTTAATGAGCTCTCGGATTCAGATACCCTGGTGTCTGGTGGTGAGGCCAGCAGGCCAACTAAGACAGCTGGTCCCTTTTAATAGAAAGGCCTCCAGGCCCCAGATGGTGGCCAATTAATACTCTGCAGAATGTTGTTGGTTTCGCCTTCTTTCCTTGCTTTTTTGGCCTAATGATTCCATTTGCTGTTTTCGCTTAGCTTATCAAGCAACCGGTTGTCTCACCCCAGCTCTGGAAGGTAAACGCACATTGCATTACATTTCTCTGACTGCTTTTTTTTCCTTGGGTCTGGGCATTGAAGGGCCTCGGGGTGACAGTTTGTGCACTGACGGGGCTGCATGGGGTGAGGGGAGGGCTGGAGGGTGGTGGCGGGCGGGGGGTGTGAGAGGGCATTCTTGCGAGCACGGGTCTTACAGGGGCTAGAGTTGAAGCTTGCATGGACCACTGAAAGGCTTCTGGGGACCCAGAAATAGGCAAGGCTTCCCTAGGTGCGCGCTGCTGTGTCTCTGTGCCCCCAGGAGAGGTACCACGGGGCCCGGACAGCGAACCACCAGGCATGGGCCCCACTTCCCGGTCTGAGGTCTCCACGGTGTTTGTAATCCCATGTCTAGGTTGGACCCCTTACTGTCGATCTTCTGACCAGGGTTCCTGCCTTAAATGGTTTCCCCCTGAGTCCCTTAAGTTCTTCTACCACCTCTTTCTCTAATCCCCCTCTCTTTTGGCTCTCTCCACCCCCGCAGGACTGTGCACTCTTTGAGGTCAGGGAGCACCATGTTAGTGTTTTCCTGCATTTGCTTGTTCTCTGCACCTGCTTCAGAGGCAGGGCAGGACTGGAGCAGGCCCAGTGGGGGTTCGCCCGTGGAATGCCTGTCTTCTCTCCTCCCGAGCTGGGGACAGCTTTTTACTGTTGGCTGAGCTAACTTTTATAATCAAAGTGGGAACATTTCCTGGCTCTCTCCCACCACTTGGACCTCCCACCATCTGGTAGATTTGGGGAGAGTTGCCTACAGTTTCTGTACACAGGGAAAGATTCCTGAGTAGCCAACTGGTGTCCCAATAGGTAATAGTGTCTACAGACACGATTAGGACCTACCATGTACTTTCCCTTGATATAGGAGAGCATTGAGGAACTTTGTTCTGGGTTAGTTCAGGGTCTGGACGGGTGGGAGAGAGGACATCACAGACAATTCAAAGTGGAGTGCTAAGTGCTAAAAGAGAAAGGTCCTTGGAAGTTTATTTAAAGCAAGGTAAAGAACCAAACCTAAGGGCAGAGTCTGGTTCCTCTGAACACCATGAAAACCAGTGATTCTGGTATTCCTTAGAAACACACGATTAGGTTGTGATCTCCTTATGAAGTCACAGAGTTGGAAAGACTTGGAGGTGTCAGGGTGGGACCAGACCGTTTCCAGATGTGTGGACTTCTGGCTTTCTAGGACCCTGGAAGCAGCTCATTCACAGTCCGTCAGAGCGGTCTGGAGTTGGGGACAGAAAGCGGGTGACATTCGGTGGACAGCATATGCAGAGACTCTCCCTGTCTCCCCTCATGCACCCCACACCCACCTCCCAGAGGGCTTTCGGCTAGTCATGCCATGATTTTCCCATGTAAACATTTTCTGTAATGCAGCTTAGAACCTAGTGTGGGAAGTTTGAGAAGATGAGTGTTCTTTCCTGTTCAAAATCAGTAAGGACACAAAATGACTACCTGTTGTTGAATATCTCGCATGAGCACCGCCTCTGCAAATTTCCTGGAAGCAGAGTTTCCCTCTTTTCTCTCGGGCACCCATTTCCAGTAGCTTATCTCCTTAGACTCGTCCAAGCAGCCTAAGCCGAATACTGGATCCAGGCTCATGTTCATGAGTAAGATAGGATTCAGGTTATGGAGGGAGGACGGAACGAGGGCTGTTTTGAATTAGCTGCAACATCATGGAAGTCCAAATCCTTTTGGCACAACAGTTTCCTTTGGCAACTGTTGGTGGGGATTTGGTATTCCCCAAAGTCAGAAATTTGCTCTTAGTGTGAGAGCAGCAAGAAACATTTTCAGATGTTATGTTCCTGAGTGTCAGGGAATTGAAGGACCCTCTCTTTCCAAGCTGGTTAGAGGAAAAGGAAGAGTTGTACTCGAGAGAGGAGTTCTAGATGAGAGCATCACAGGGAGTGTTCTAGAAGCCTGACTGTAGACCCAGTTCAAACGTTCAGCTGTGTGGGAGGTTAGCGTCCCCCTTTCTGGGTAGACTTTGCCGGGGAGGGCTCCTGTCAATTCCCCGAAGGCCCAGGCATCTGCATTCCTGTGGAGACACCACGCCTGGAGCCCTGTGGGTCCAGAAGTCTTACCTGCTTCCAGACGCTCTTCCTGGGATAGAACCTGTCTCCTCAAACTCAAGTCCAGAATGACATGCACAGAAACAATGAGTTGAGTGTGGAAGCTCTCCCCACAAAGCACAGGGTTGTAGCCCCTCGTTGCTGTGCTCGAACAGACCCCTCCCCGCCGCCCCCGGTGGAGAGGTCTGGAGCCGACACGCATTGCCTGGGTGGCAGCCCCTCCTCTGAGGCACAGAGAAAGGCAGACCCTCCCGCTTCTGTTCACTTCTCCCCTCATGGTCCTCACTGCTGCTCACAATGGGCTGTGTGAGTGGGGAGGGCCGGGCACGGCTTGTGCACTAGACAACTTGGCTGTGTGGTTACGCTTCATGCCTAGGGACGCATTGTGTCTCTGCGGGCCCGTGAGAGGGTTTGGCATGGTGGTTTGCTTCCTGTGCCCAGGAAGGAGAGGACTGGACATGCTAAGCAGTGTTGGTGAGTCCACGCTGGACTCTGAGCCTGCAAATGCCCTTGAATTCGGAGAGGCTGACTGTCACAGTGGAACTAAAAGTCCTGGCTTTTGCAGGGGTGGATCTGGTTCTGGTTTGGCAGTCGTGCTGGTTGGTCCTGGAGCTAGCAGCCGTGTATTCACTTGCGCATGTGGTATCCAGGGATGATCCAGGAGCAGACTCTCTTTTCTGATGCCCCGAGGAATTAGAGTCTAACTTTGGATCCAGATCCCTGGCATTGGCTGGCTTATTCTTTAGCTACTATGGTCTATGCTCATAAATTCGGGGGCATTTCTTTTGAGCCCAAACATTAGGGGAGACCCCTGAACTGCGTCTCCTTGAGGGTTAACTGGCTTTTCCCTCTTTGGCGTGAATGGAAGCTCTGCTGTTCTGGGGTCTCCATCTCTGAGGCTGGACCTATCCATATGTGTGCCACCCCCATGCACGAGCTTTCCGGGAGATAAATGGTAGAGGGTAAAGCAAAGCCCTCCAATAAGGATGGGAAAGGGACACCAGGGCTGATGGTTTGGCATGCTTAGGAGCCTGGCCCATGATCAGAAGACTGCCTATTGGAATGGGTCTGGATCAGGTTTCCATTCATCCCCTTGGTACCATCCCTGCCTCCAACCTGGCCAAGAGATCTGGCTCCCTTGAAGACTTGCTCAGGTACTGGAGCCATGGCCATGGGATGATGGATGGATATGGTAAGATTTAAGTTGTTTTGGACAACACCAGTCCAAATTGGGCAATACCAGATATCTTGGCAGGGGGGGAAGGCCACTCTGAAAAGTTCTTTGCCTCTCCTAGGAGCACCTTCTGCTCCATCATTGCTCAGCTAACAGAGGAGACCCAGCCGCTATTCGAGACCACGCTCAAGTCCCGGGCTGTGTCCGAGGACAGTGATGCCAAGTTCACCTGCATCGTCACAGGTAATGAAGCCCTCTGTACAATCCACACCAGGGTCACTGCACACAGGAGGGTCCCAGGGGGCTGTGGGGACAGGCACGGAAGGGGTTGGCTGTGTGCATAAAACTGTGCAAGTTCACATTTGTTTCCTTAGCTTTCTCTCCAGTTTAATCTCCCTGTGTGGGCTGGGGTCCCTTTCCCCTCCCATTCTGGAACCACATATACACCCTGCTCTTCTTCAAAATCTATTTTCAGGTTCTTAACTCTCGGGCAAACATAGACGACCAATGAATCTTAGTTGCAAGGAAAGAAGCTCTCCAGTTGAAAAAGGTTTTTGAGGCCGTCTCCCCAAATATCCCCATTTTAGAGTTGAGTAGGTTGACGCTTGGGGCTGTCAAGCCTGAGAGACAGTGATGTCGAGTGATTCTGACTGCAGAGCCTGGAGACAGACTGCCTGGCTGGAATGCTGATCTGTCCCCTTTCCAGTTATGTGATACAGAAGAGTTTGCATAGCCTTTCATGACTTCGCAGCACCTCCTCTGTAAAGTGGGGATGATGATAGTATGAACCTCATAGGATTATTGTGAGACCGAATGCATCAAACCTGCAAAGCATTTGGAATAGTGCCTGGCATACAGTTAGTACCATGTAAGTGTTAGAAATGAAGACAACTATTATTTGCATTTCCCTGAGCTCCATGGTGGGATTTGGCAGAACAGGAAGCAGAGTGATACTCCTTGGGAGGGGATGGTGTGGTGGGAGGACTGGAAAGCTGGCCCTGAGCATGGCCTCTCCTCCAGACCTCCTGTTGTACCAGCCTGACCTGCTAGTGGGCCTGCAGGTCTGCCCCTCCCAGCCGTGCAGCCATCAGACCAAGGGGCCCAGATCAAGCTTCCCTCCAAGAGTACCCTTTTTTCCCCCCAGTAAATCAAGGGCATTGGTAGTTTCCAGCTGTGACATGCCCTGATTCTGGGGGACCTGTCTGCCCCAGCCATCTAAACAGCTTCTCTGGGACTGGGTTCCCTCAGGCAGTTCTCACCCTTACCCAGAACCCTCTGAGCTCCACGCTGAGAACCCCGTCTGTTCCAGGGGATGGCAGACACCTGCCTATATCCCTTACCTTTGTGTGGCATAACACATTTTGCAATATTTATCTGTTTCCATTGTCATTGGATTCTTACAAAACCTGGTGAAGTAAGTGCTATTATTAGTCAAATTTTACGGAGAAGGAACCGACAATAGGTTAGGTGACTTGCCAAAGTCCACAAAGCTGGTGAAGAGGAGATACTACTTCTGCTCTCTGTAGCATCTGAGGCTTCTCCTTTATGCCTGCTTTGTAACTGTGGTACTAACAGTTTTCTGGAAGAACTTAGCTCTTTCACAAATCTGTGCTTACATACGCTATTTTCTTTTCTTTTTTTTTTTTTTTAAGATTTTATTTATTTCTTTGACAGAGAGACACAGCGAGAGAGGGAACACAAGCAGGGGGAGTGGGAGAGGGAGAAACAGGCTTCCCGCCGAGCAGGGAGCCCGACGCGGGGCTCGATCCCAGGATCCTGGGATCATGACCTGAGCCGAAGGCAGATGCTCAATGACTGAGCCACCCAGGCGCCCCTACATACGCTATTTTCCCTACATAGAAAGTCCTTAATCACTTCTTTTTAAAGGAAATTAATTTTTATTTGATCAAATTAACACATATACATAATGTAAGTCTTCAAAGTATACTAATAGGCATGTATCAAAGTACAGCAGTTCACCTCTCCCACCAGTTTGTCTTCCCAGAAGCGACTGTTTTCACCTTTTAACTATTAGTGTCTACATTTAGCTATTCAATGTATTTATTAGCTATTAGTGTATACATTTAGCTGTTTAGTGTATACATTTCCACAATGCTGAGTAATTATGTGACTGTTCTGCCTTCAGCTCGGGTCACGATCCCAGGGTCCTGGGATCGAGCCTCACATAGGGCTCCCTGCTCAGCGGGGAGCCTGCTTCTCCCTCTCCCACTCCCCCTGCTTGTGTTCCCAATCTCCCTATCTCTCTGTCAAATAAATGAATTTTAAAAATCTAAAAAAAAAATAATGTGACTGTTGCTAACTTTTGACACTTCGGGTTTTCATGCTAGCTGGTCTTCCTGTTACAGTGGTTAGGGAATTAGCTCTCTCTATCTTAATTTTCTGTTTCTCCTCACTTATCTTCTCAATATAGTTATGTCATAATTTTTGCTTAAATCAATATTTACTGTTTACCTTATTTCTAGGTAATATTATTCATAACTGAAGATTGTAGTATACTATGATTATACTTCTTTTTTCTGTTTTTACTCATTAGTATTTTCTTTAATTTTTCGTTTAATTGGTTTTTTTTTTTTTGCTACCTATTGCTAAATTTTCTTATCCCATCCAATAGCCTCTTACTACAGTTTCCAACAAGGTCACTGTCATCAGTCCTCCTGTCAGCTGTTTTCCTTGGAGACATCTCTCTTGGACATCTCTGTTCTTCTGTCTCAACTGGTGGCCTTTTAGGCCAGATACACAACTGTTATCCTGGGGTTTCCCTTGCCTTTCTCCTGGGTTTGATTCAGTTTCCTGGATCTCATATGGTCCTTTTTCTTGGTTTATTCTCTGGCTTTACTACACTACATCTTTCAGTAGTGTCATGAAAAAGACATTCTACCAGAGATGGTATGACAATGGGGGCTTTGTGATGACAAGCTCTCCACCTGTCTCTCCTTTGAGCCTTTCAGCCCCCATGTGATTTAGTTGCTTTCTGCATCTGACACATGGTTGGCATCTTGGGATCTCCCTTTACCATCATCCTATGCATTCCCTTTACCTCTCTCCTATGATGGATTTCCTGGTTTTTATATTCCACATTTTTCTTTTTCTTGATTTACATTCTTATTTTGGTAGCTTCCTAGGCAAAGTACGTGGGAAGTAAATGTTAGACAACTTCTGTCTGAAAATGTTTTTTTGTTTGTTTTTTACTTTACTCTTGATGGAGAGTTTGGCTGGGTATAGAATTCTAAGTTGAAAATAATTGTCCTTGAGAATTTTGAAGACATTGCTGCACTGTCTTCTTGCTCCCAATGTTAGTGTTCAGAGCAAGATGACGATTTGACTCCTCATTCTTTTTTTTTTTTTTTTAAAGATTTTATTTATTTATTTATTTGAGAGAGAGAGAGAGAGAGAGAGAAACAGCATGAGAGGGGAGAGGGTCAGAGGGAGAAGCAGGCTCCCCGCTGAGCCGGGAGCCCAATGTGGGACTCGATCCCAGGACTCCGGGACCATGACCTGAGCCGAAGGCAGTTGCTTAACCAACTGAGCCACCCAGGCGCCCATTGACTCCTCATTCTTTGCAGGAGACTGTTTGTTTGTTTTCTTTTTTCCCTCTCTCTCTCTGGAAGCTTGTAAGAATGTTCTGATATTTCATAATGATGTATCTTGATATGGGTGTCTTTTCATCCTGGGGTGTGCTTGGACTCTTTCAATCTGGTAACCGATGGCCTCTAGGTCTGAGAAATTTGAGATTATTTTGATGTTGGTTTGTTCCTCCTGTTTTCTCTCCTCCGTCTTTCTGGAACTCTTGTTATGTGGATATCTGCTCCCCTGGACTCATTCTCTTATTTTCTTTTCCTTTCTTCCCCTTTTATCTATTTGTCTTTTTGCTCTACTTTCTGGGAGATTTCCTCTGGGTTTTTAATTTCTAAGAGCTCCTTAAAAAATTTTTTTTCAGGGGCACCTGGGTGGCTCAGTTGTTAAGCATCTGCCTTCGGCCCTGGTCATGATCCCAGGGTCCTGGGGTCGAGCCCCACATCGGGCTCCCTGCTTGGTGGGAAGTCTGCTTCTCCCTCTCCCTCTGCCCCTGCTTGTGTTCCCTCTCTCCCTGTTTCTCTCTCTGTCAAATAAATAAATAAAATCTTAAAAAATATATTTTTTTTCCTGTGGCAATCTGTTCTGCATGAACGTAATATCTTCTCTTAGCTCTCTGAGACTAGTAATGATAGCTTTCTAAAAGTTTCCTTCTCCCTGCATAGCTTGAGTTCCTTCCAGTTTGCTTTTTTTTTTTTTTTTTAATTTAGTTGTTTTGGTCCTTAATTTTCTATGTATAGGCTTTTCTCAGACACCTAGGGATCTTTGGGTGTCAGATAATGGTCAAAAAGCTGGTTGTCAGTTCTGAGCAAGCAGGAGGGGACTGAAAACTTGAGGCTTCCTTGTAGGGTGATCTGGCAACCACTGTTGGAACTGACAAAGCAAGTTTCTTTAATTCCTTCATCTTGGGCTAGCTAGAGTCCCTAGTGAATACTGTTCCCATACCTTGCCTGGAGGGTAAAGATTTTCCAGGGGCTATGCAGATGACAGGGTTGGGTGGGCTCTCATCAGAGAGCATTTATTTTATGCATACAGTTACTATGTTTTTCTGTTTCCCATAGAGTAGTCCTGCCCTCAGCTGTGCTGGCTTGCCCTTAGGGTAGTTTTACCTTTCCAGATAATCCTCAGGGTAGTTTTACCTTTCCAGATAATCATCCTCGCCTTTTGACCATGGAGGCAGGGGGCGGGAAGGAGCGTACCTAGTGGCACGGAGGGGGTGAGGGAATCCAGAGATCTGATGTTTTTTCACGCAACTTATAACCCCTCCTCCTTCCCTTTCCCCCAAGTGTTTGCCAGAAATTATGCCTTTTGGGGGATTTTCCAGTGTTCAAAGGGTAGCTCTCAATTTCCCCACTGCTACCTTAGGGTTCAGCTGTCCTTGGTCTGCAGAGCCTGTTTCCACTGTCCATCTGCTTTCCGACTTTTCAAACTGTTGTTCCTCCTACTGCTTGCCTCATCTGTTCTCCCCTTCCCTGTGGTTTTATATCTTTTAATTAAAAAATACTCTTTAGAGTACTCATAGTGGAGAGAGAGTGAAAACAGGTGATATGCTCATTCTGTCTTTTTACCTAGAAGCCTACTCCTTTGCTGGAAAATTCCTTCTCATCTTTCAAAGCCCAGCCCAAATGTCTTATCCTCTAGGACATCAT